ATCTTGAAAGCATCGGGTTTTTTTTTTTTTTTTTTTTTGTATGCCATGCTCTTAATACTTTAAGAAGCAGTCTGTGCAGTTGAACAATTTTATATTTTTACAAGTGTGCCTGAAGATCCATATCAGTATAGTTTTTAAAGGTCATATTTTGTCTTCATGTGAGCGTGCATGGCTCCCATCAATGTTAGTAGGAGCCTTGTGTAGATTTAAAGGGATTATGTATGTCTTTAACAATTGTAACCAGTTTTCCAATTTAATCCCTTTTAGAACTTAAATGAAATCCAAATTCCATAACCACACTGCCTAAATGATTGATAAATCATGTCATTCACCTTTTGAAAACGTCTCTCTCCTAGGATCCGGATTGCAGGAATCAGAGGCATTCAGGGAGTAGTACGCAAAACGGTTAACGATGAGCTCAGAGCAACCATATGGGAACCTCAGCATATGGACAAGATAGTTCCCTCACTGCTGTTTAATATGCAGAAGATAGAAGACATTGACAGGTATTACATACTAATTGGCATTGATTAGTATTAATTGATTTTTTTTTTTAGCAAACTTTAGGCTCTCTTCCAAGAGTAGGTAGCTTTTTCTTCCCTGTTAGAGTAGCTTTTGTTGTGACTACATAATCTTGATACACATATTAGCATATATATGGTTAACTAGTAACTTTTTCTTTCTTTAAAAAAAAAATCTGTTAGACCTGCTAAAATTGATGCTAGAAGATTTACTTTGAGCATCAGTCTTCTCGTAAGTATAGACGTGCTCTTAGTGAGCAAAGGAAAGCAATATCTGAAGCTAACTGCTTATTTAAGATAGTTTTAAACTAAAGACACTGTGCAGAAAAAATGACTAATGCTTTCCCAAATGGCACATAAATTAGCTTTTATACACATGGCAAAAATGGAAAACAGTATTTATCAGTTTTTGACTCTTGGCCTCAAATTCTACAAATAATAATTTCTCCTTTTTTTTTGCTATTGTGACTTAATACATGCAGAAGCAGAGAAGAGAGGCATCTTGAAGAGTAGCAGTATGAACCATATTGTTCTAGCAGATGGCATCAAAACATTATTTAGAAAGGGCCAGACTTTCCAGCTCAGCTGCATACAGAATGAATAAATACACACTCCCATCTTAAGGGAGAATAAAATATTTCTCCTGACACTTGTTGCTTTTGAGAGAGATTTTTATGGTTTTTTTTCTTCAAGTTGTGTACCTTTAGGTGCGCTGCTTCAAGGAGTTCCTGTACCTTTGATCTGAGATTTTTAGTAGTGATGCTTGTTTGGCTTATACTTGCACCCCACATGTCCGAGTGCCACTTTCTGAGGTAATATGAGGCAGCATAGGCAAACTGGCCTCATTTTTTTTTCTCCACTGCCTTTGACCTGTGATGGAGCCTCTATATCCTTGTTTTCTTCAGCAGTTAGCTAGCTAGCATATAGTTATCTTGTAGTGTTTGCAGTTGTGGGAAAAGTTGTTCCTTCTATATTTTTTTCCTTTTAAAACAATTTTTAAATATATAACTTTAGAACTTCCTTTTGTAGCAACTTTTTCATTATTTTACTGTGAAATGCTGATTTTCAAAAGGGATGTCTCTTGCTGTGAGACTTTTCTGGTATGTGATGGGCATTCCCAGTTCCTCTGCTATTTGGATAATACTCGTATCGCCAGTAAGTGCAAGATCTACACTTTTTTCCCCTCCAAAGATAAAGCCTAGAAAAAGAGGTAGATCAGGTTTAACTCCTAATGATGGAGCCTACTTTAGGACCAGCTTCTAATCCCAAGGTTCAGGACTCTCTGCTACATAGACCTCCCGGTATTGCTAGTCCCCATACGTATGAAGATCATGGTTGCCAGAGACTGCTAGGGATGTAGGTAGGTACCATAACATGAAGTATATCTGTGGGACTGAGGTCCTCATGGACATCTGCCTTTAGCTAAGAGGAGAACATAAGGAGGAAATGGCTAAAACATTTTGCTCATATATGCATGAGAAAGCACAGCTACTCATTCTTCAGAGTCTGAACCTTCTCCAGTACCAACAGGCATGACACCATCATGGTCATCAGAGGAGGCTTCTTTGTCAGATTCTGAAGTTGGGTCCTGTGTTTGCTAACCTTAGCCAATGGTAGCACCTCCTTGCCCTAGTTTGAGCCTCTATTCCAGTAATAAAAGGGATCCTTGGGCTCTGCACATTTGGGTGCTGGGGCCTTTGCAGTGACCCTTATGGAAACCATGGGGCTTCACCTCTCAATCGAGAGCATCCCTGTAGCCACCTCAGCCCATTCTATGTACTGGTCATCAGGCATATCAAAGCCGCAAGCGTTATAGTGTTGATTCTGAGCACAGCACCAAACAGATTCAGCATCTAGCCTCCAGTACATGTGACGTCCCTGATAAGATGGTGGAGGAACAACCTTGTTCTCATCTTTTTTTTAATTTTTTTTAAGACTCATCAGGAATTGTTGAGGCTGGATATGGCCCTAGATATTTACCTAGAGGAGATGCAGGAAAAATTCCACAAGCTGCAAGGCATTTAACATCTGCTTCTCCAACCAGAATAGGCTCATTTAAAGCCAACCAAGGAACTCCAGCAGACCTCGGCTTTCCTGCTTCTGCGGGGAGAGGGAGAGGAGAGGCGGAGGGGGAGGAGGAGGAGGGCGGTACTTATGTCCCTTCTCACATTCAGGCATCTGTATAATCATCCCCTCCAAACTTCCCTTGCAGTAGCATCAGCCAGTGAGGAAGAGATGGGTACCAGACCTGAATACAGAAGAAAGATGAGGAGGCATAGAATCTCTATAGATAGTAATTCCATACTCTAATAAAAATATAGCAGTAGAATCATAGAATACTAGGACTGTAAGGAACCTCGAGAGTCTAGTCCCCTGCCCCCATGGCAGGACCAAATACTGTCTAGACCATCCCTGATAGACATTTATCTTACCTCTTCTTAAATATCTCCAGAGATGGAGATTCCACAACCTCCCTGGACAATTTATTCCAGTGTTTGACTACCTTGACAGTTAGGAACTTTTTCCTAATGTCCAACCTAAACCTCCCTAGCTGCAGTTTAAGCCCATTGCTTCTTGTTCTATCCTCAGAGGCCAAGATGAACAAGTTTTCTCCCTCCTCCTTACGACATCCTTTTAGATACCTGAAAATGGCTATCATGTCTCCCCCCTCAATCTTCTCTTTTCTAAACTAAACAAACTCAATTCTCTCAGCCTTCCTTCGTAGGTCATGTTCTCTAGACCTTTAGTCATTCTTGTTGCTCTTCTCTGGACCCTCTCCAATTTCTCTACATCTTTCTTGAAATGCGGTGCCCAGAACTGGACACAATACTCCAACTGAGGCCTAACCAGTGCAGAGTAGAGCGGAAGAATAACTTCTCGTGTCTTGCTCACAATACACCTGTTAATGCATCCCAAAATCATGTTTGCTTTTTTTGCAACAGCATCACACTGCTGAATCGTATTCAGCTTTTGGTCCACTATAACCGTAGACAGTCGCTTCCCATCTTGTATGTATGGAACTGATTGTTCCTTCCTAAGTGGAGCACTTTGCATTTGTCTTTATTAAACTTCAGCCTGTTTACCTCAGACCATTTCTCCAATTTGTTGTGGAATGACGTGTAACAGTTAACTCGAACTAAGGACTTAGTTTGAGTTAACGTTTGACTGCTGCGTGTAGCTGCGGGCAGTTAGTTTAGACTAAGGGGATTTAAAAATGGCACCCGGCTGGGAAGATGCAAATCAGTTCCGGGATATTTAAAACCTGGGCTTCATTTGCAACTTCGAATGCCTACATTAGCCTCCCTAGTTCAAATTAGGGGGCTAGTGTATTTGCTTTGGTCTTCACAGCTGAGGATGTTAGGGAGATTCCCAAACCTGAGCAGTTTTTTAGATGACAGATCTGAGGAATTTTCCCAGACTGAGGCATCATTAGAGGAGGTTTTGGAACAAATTGATAGACTTAACAGTAACACATCACTGGGACCCGATGCCATTCACCCAACAGTTCTGAAAGAACTCAGATGTCAAATTGCAAAACTATTAACTGTGCTCTATAGCCTATCCATTAAATTGGCTTCTGTACCTAATGACTGGAAGATAGCTAAAGTCAACATGGATTCTGTAAAGGGAAATCATGCCTTAATAATCTAGTAGTTCTTTGTACAGTAGTAGTAGTTCTTTGAGGAGGTCAATGAGCATATGATTAAGGGGGATGCAGTGGATATAGTGTACTTAGATTTTCAGAAGGCCTTTGACAAGGTCCCTTACCAAAGTCTCTTAAGTAAAGTAAGGTATCATAGGATAAGAGGAAAGGTCCTTTCATGGATTGCTAACTGGTTAAAAGACAGGAAACAAAAGTTAGGAATAAATGGTAAGATTTCAGAATGGAGAGAGATAACTAGCGGTGTCCCCCAATGGTCTGTACTGGGACCAATCCTATTTAACCTATTTATAAGTGGTCTGGAGAAAAGGGTAAACAGGTTGCAAAACTTGCAGATGGTATTAAACTGCTCAAGGAACAAAGCAGACTGTGAAGAGCTTCAAAAGGATCTCCCAAAACTAAGTGACTGGGCAAGAAAATAGCAAATGAAATTTAATCTTGATAAATGCAAAGTAAAGCACATTGGAAAAAATAATCCCAACTGTACATACAAAATGATGGGGACTAATTTAGCTATAACCACTTGAGAGAGAGAGAGAGATCTTGGAGTCATTGTGGGTTGTTCTCTGAAAACATCCACTGATTTTTTTAGTGCAGCAGTAGTCCAAAAAAAAAGCACACTTCCTCAGGGGTAGCGTGTGGCAAATCAAAGACGACTTCAAGCCTCTACAAGAAAAAGAAAGAAAGAAACGCCTTTGACGGACAACATGCCGGGATCTCCTGATTTTAAAAAATGTGAGAAATACCAGGAGTCTATACCGAATGTATCCGCTGCCTGGGTGAGACCAATGTCCCCCAGAAATGCATCCATTGCCGCAACCTCATGACCAGGGCTCGCAAAGATAGAGAGCTAAGATTGCACATTTTACTATTTGACAAAGCGCTTCAACCTCAGTCGGACAAAGAGGATACTAATCGTTCAGACGCCCCTTCCTCTCGGGAGAAACCTTCAAGCCCTTCTGCATCTAAGCTGCTATCAAAAACAAAAATTATCCAGCTTGTTCTCTCCTGCCACGAATTAGCACGGAAGATAAGGCAGGCACTTTGGGTACTCAGAGGCCCTGTGTCACATCAGTGACAGGATCCAAGCCTCACTCTGAACTGACCACGGCACCGGCTACCCTGGCACCGAAAAGAGCACCCACTCAGGGCTCAGAAACTTCTACGATAACCTCTGTGTCGCAAGCACAGCCAGCACTACCAGCATTACTGGCTCCGCCAGCACCGAGGAAGGCCAGGTCAAATTCTGCTAACCCCCTGCCTCGCATTCTGAGCCCCAAGTCCCCACCGACATCACTGGTGCCGATGCTTCCTCCACTGGCACCGAGCACTTTGGCACTACGGCAAATGTCATCAAGCCTCCACTGTTCCTCAACACACACTCAAGACAACACTACTCCGGTACTGGAACCGAGAGCCAGATCTACTCATGGGACTATATCATGATATTCTCGCTTTCCCCTATCAATACGAGACTCCCCTCTCTCACCATAGTCACCTACTCCATCTCATTACAGTGGCTACCCTGATGATGCTAGGAGTGTTTTCTCAACACTCCTCCCTTGCATGAGCCCACACATCGTATGATACACACTGACCACAGTATTCCCACCACCCTCAATGGCATCTAGAATGGTCTTACCTTCCTTAGTACCAAAGCTGCTGTCATTGTGTCCCACCAGAACACAGTGCAGTTGTCCCTTCCCCCCCCCATGCCTGCTCAGAGATCGTTACTATCTATGCACCCATGTCCTTCACCACCTCCCACAGCAGGTCTTGACATGGAGAAAGGGAAGATTACCCATGATCCAGATACCCAACAGCCAGATTTGACACCCACTGACAAGTCTTTCTCTTCACCAGATGAAGCAGTCATTCCAGATGACCTAAAACAATTCCACAAACTATTCAAAAAGGTTGCTACCAGTCAAGAGGTCATATTTTCAGAAGTGCAAGAAAGACAGCACAAATGTTTAAAAAACCTCCAATCCTCAGCAAAATAAAAAATTGCACTTCTCCTTGATGAAGCAATTTTGGAAGCAACAGAAAAAGTTTGGTAAACACCAGCCACAGCCCCCTGACGAGCAAGCCGGCTGACAGAAAATACTTCATCCTATCAAAAGGCATGGACTTTTTATTTCTACACCCTCTACCAACTCACTAGTTGTTGATGCTGCAAACTAAAAATTTAAAAACCCCCAATACAAATCAAATACACAGGACAAAGAACACAAATATCTGGACTTATTTGGAAGGAAGATGTACTCCTCCTTGACTCTCCAATTTTGCACGGCAAATTATACAGCCCTGCTTGCAAATCATAACTTCAACAACTATGTGAATCTAACAGACCTTATGCAACATCTTCCTAACAGCAAGAGACTTATATTAAAGTCTGTTCTACAAAAGGGGTAGACTGTAACTGCACAGTTTTACAAATGGCTCTCGATGCTGCTGACACAGCAGCAAGAGCCACAGCAACGTCCGTAGTAATGAGGTGCTCGTCTTGGCTGCAAGCAGCTGGAGTCCCCAAAGACTTCCAAGCAAAGGTCAAGGATCTAATGTTTGCCTGTCTGATTTGTTAGACTAACTCTGTTACTCCACTGAAGTTTATAAATAAAGTAACACAAAAGGTTTGTGTTTCTGGAATTAAATATACTTGCAAACTTTCAGATCTGTAGGATCTAGTTCTGATGATGTTACATGGGCAGCAGTGTTCTAATTAGTTGCAGCATTTTTTTTAAACCTGGAAACCAACTGTTATTGCAAAACATCTCCTCCAACTATATTGGAGTTTTCATTTCACACTCATCAACCTAATGAGGACTAAGTGGTGGGCGGGTTGAGCTCATTAGTCACTTTGCTTTTACCAGAGTTTTGCCAAAGTTCTTGCATAGATTTTGGGCCTTTAATTCATTTTGGAGTATAGCTGTATTACCAAAAATATGATATGCAATTTGAAACATCACAACTTTTTGCTTTATATTCTTTTCAACTTGTCTATTATTATAGGTTTACAGTTTGTTCCTATTTATGTAAAACCCTATTATCTGAATATTCACATTATCTGAATCCCTTCCTTGTCTCTCAGCGTGAGATACACACTATAGAGAGCCTGTATCTCATGCTGGAGGATAAGGAAGACATTTGGATAATGCAGACTTTCAGATAATAGAGAGAAACTTCCCCTGCTTCCCCCCACAACAAGACTGCAAGAGGGAAGAAAGGCACTCAGCTATGAGAGAGGCTGAATGGCTCCTTCAGCAGCACAAGAAACCCTCTGCAGCCCTGCTGTCATGGAAGGGAGTTTGTGGGTTCATGCCAGGTTTCTGCTCTTCCCTGCATGGCCCACAGCCATTCCTGTACTTTATGCCTGCGGGGGGATTGGGTGTCCCTGACCCTGTGGGAGTTCACAGAATTTTGTACTGCCCTGCCTTCATGGAAGTGAGTGAATGGAATAGAGTAGAGAGCCCTTGTTAGAACTGCAAGGAGGAGGATGAGCCCAGGCCATGGAAGAGGCTACATCCTGCCTGCACAGTCTGAATTGTAATTGAATAAAAGACATTAAATAAAGTTCTGTGTTCTTCACCTACTTTTTTTTCCTTTATACTTAGAAGGTTACATAAGACAGAAAGAATGGCTCAGTTTCTTTGTATATAGCTGAGTTCAGGACTGATACAAGTGCAGTTAGGGGTCCTTCAAAATTGTTAGACTTGTTGCTTTTACAAGACATAAGGTCTATTGCTGTTACTATTTGGCCCAAAGTGCACTTCTAGTAAAAGCTGCATGTGAAAGGGGAAGGCAGTACAAGGGCCAATTTTTTTTTTCTTGAAAGAGGTACAGCAGATAATATAGGTTACTTCAGGTCAGGAATCTCCAATTCCTTCAGATAACGACAGAATCCTTCTGATAATGGAAGGATTGAGATAATTGTTTGACATAACCCTAACCAAATCATATAGCTAATTAGTGTGTTTGATCTTATCATATAGGTCATAGGTGGGGAACCCAGGGGCCAGATGCAGCCCCTGGTTTGCTTGTATCTGGCCCCTAAGATTAGGGGCTCCCCCGCACCATTGTCGAGCCCATGATGCCTCACCGGGCCCCCCCTCCCCTTCCCTACATGGGGCTGGAGCACACAATCTACTACCCTTTGCTCCGCTAGACTTATGTGTGAGGGGAATGTGGGGAGTCTTTCTCCTTCTCAGTTGGGGTTTGTTGGTTTGTTTGTTTTTTTGTTTTGTTTTGGGGCTTTTTTGCATCTCACTTGAGTGCGGCCTCCGACTGATTTTTTTTTTCCCCTCTCTCCCCTCCCCCAGTGGATCAGTGGCCCTTTAACCATAAAGGTTCCCCACTCCTGATAAAGATTATCTCTGATTTAAAGCTTTCAGGAATAAAAGGGCAACCGTTTGCTCACCACGTTACTGAAACCTTAAATATATAAAAAATGATAGATGTGATGGTGTTACTGGATAAATAAACCAGAACTGATGGCCATTGTTTTGCCTCTTATCAGTTACTGTCCTGTGACTAGATTGAACACTCACACTCGACTTGGGGGAAAACTGATATGTAAATTTTCATATTCAGTCTCTGCTCCAGATTGTACTACGTTGTGAACTAACACAGATAAAATTGTTTGCCCACAGAAATACACAGGGCTTGACTAGAAGAGGAGTTAGTGCATAGCAGGCTGAAGTGTAAATCTGCAGTACACTAGCATGCAGTGCACTAACTCACCACTGAAATTGGAGCAGATAAAATAAAATTATAATTTTAGTGTGCAATAGCAGTATCCACATGGCTAGTTAGTGCTCCGCATTATAGTGTGCTATAGGTTTACATCCCAGCCTTTTGTGCACTGTCTGCATTGGGACAAGTTCACAAGGTATCTTGCAGAGGTCATTGTTGCTTGGCTTTGTGTAAGTCAAGCATCCAAATACTAGATGGGTAAAAATCATGAAAGTACCTAGAAATAGGCATATGAGTAACAAGTAAGAGTAACTTTTTTCTTTGTTTCAGTCGAACTGGTCCACCCTCATCCCCTACAGCAGGAGAGAAAGAGGAGAACCCTGCTGTGCTGGCTGAGAATTGTTTTAGAGAGCTGTTGGGCCGAGCAACCTATGGGAATATGAACAATGCTGTTAGACCCGTATTTGCGTAAGTAGAAAACAAATATAAAAACAATTGTACTAAAAGTTGGAAGTGCCTAACGTTTCAATAAAAGGATGAACAGTTTGAATACTAATAACAAACATCATCCTTGTATATATGAAGAACTTCTGAAATACTCTAATCTTTCTTCCATGCCCATCACTTTGATCATGTAACTTTGAATTCTTTCATTGGGTCCTCTTGTTTCATGGCATGAAATTCTACCGCATAAAATTCTTGTTGCCTTTTTCAGTGCCCTTTATAAGTCTTTCCATCCCACCTAGAGGCTAGCTTGGTCTGCCCCCTCTGTTAGCTTCTCCTGTGCAGCCTTTGTATTACAATGCCCTGGATAGGTCGTCACCAGTGGAGACAAAACGTGGGTTTGCTGTTTTAATTCATCAGTCTTCCTCTACTACCTAGCTAAAAGATTCAACTCAGAAACTGTTGAATCATAAAAGATACGGGTTGGAAGAGACCTCAAAAAATTATCTAGTCCACCCCCTCCCCCCCTCAAAGCAGAACCAACCCCAATTAAATCATTCCGGACAGGGCTTTTTAAGCCTAGCCTTAAAAACTTCTAAAGAAAGAGGCCTCACTAGGCAAACCATTACAGTGATGAACCGCCTTCATCATCTGAAGAAGTGGGCTGTGCCCACAAAAGCTCACGATACCATCTACATGTTTCGTTAGTCTATAAAGTGCTACCAAACCATTTGTTGCTTTTTAAGTTTATCCTGTACAGACTAATTTGGCTACCCCCTGAAGCACCTTTCTAGTTAAATAGTTTTTCTTAATATCCAATCTAAATCTCTCCTCACCACGACTTGAGACAATTGCTTCTTGTTCAGTCATCTTCAGCTACTTGAGAATCTCCTTGGGAGGCAGAAAAGCGGAGAGTGAATAGTTGAGTAATGACTCAACTACCCAGTAATGTCTTGACTACCCAATAAGCCTAGACTTGTTGGGTAGTCAACTAGTCGCTTACATCCCTAGCCAGTGATCTGGAAACTTGAAGAAAGCCTCGCCTACCTCATCCTCTTATCTAGTGGTCTATAGCAGATGACCACCACAACATCACTCTTGTTGCTCTCACCTCTAACCTTAACCCATCATACTGCTCTCTTACAGTGCAACTTCATCCTTTCTCCCCCACCTGTCCTTCCTGAACAGTTTATACCCATCCATGACAGCGCTTTAGTCATGAGAATTACTGTACCAGCTCTTTGTTATTCTAGTCATATCAGAGTTCCTTGATTATTCTAGGACTTCCAATTTTTCCTGTTTCCCAGGCTTCTTGCATTTATGTACAGGCATCTACAAGAACTAGTCGATTGCTCTATTTTCTCCATATGAATGAGGTCTCCCATATTACATCTTCCTCCTTGTGTTTCCTCCCACTATTCCACTTCCCCACTTAGCTCAGGAATTAGGTCACCATTTTATATGAATTCATAAATTGCTGTGGTCCAGCCAGCAGGAGATAGAGCCACATTCATTCTAATAAGCAGAATTACACTTGGAATGCCCTTCTGAATTAATACATATGGATACTAACTACCCTTGCTCAGAATCCCTCAACACCCACATACTTGTGATAACTACAAGAAATCAAACCGCTGATAACGATTTGTTTCTGCATCAGTCAGGGAAAGCTAATTATATTAAAGTGTATTGGGTACCTTCAGTTAGTTCCACGCACAAGCCAGAGATAACTAATGTTCATGTCCATTCCATGTAGGTGTGCATGCTCTAGGGATGTAAACAAGTAATCGACTAGTCGACTATCTGATAAGCAAAAGCTTTTGCTTATCGGATAGTCGACACACTAGTCAACTACCCCCCCCACTTGCTGCATCTATCAGAAAGAGGCAGCAAGGGGGGAGGAACAGGAGGGGCTCTTGTACATTTCAAAGAGGAAATGCCCAAATGGAGCCCGGGATCAGCGGGGGACTTCCTGCTGGCTCCGGGCTCCATGCGGCGTTTCAATCGTTGAAATGCCGCACTAGTCCTTATTGACTTATCAAGTAGTCGATGGAAATCCCATCAACTATTCAGTTAGTTAATTAATCGAATTTTAACATCCCTAGCGCATGCTGGGTGCACCATTGAAAGTTTTTTCCCTTAGTCATACCCATTGGGCCAGCAGAGGAACCCCCTGGTGTGGCGTTGCTATATCAGCAAATATAAACCCCTAGGGTACGTCTAAACTACATGCCTCCGTCGACGGAGGCATGTAGATTAGCCAGATCGGCAGAGGGAAATGAAGCCGCGATTAAAATAATCGCAGCTTCATTTAAATTTAAATGGCT